GACCCTCGGTGGAGCCGATCCGTGACGAGGGCGTCACGTGATTGGGTGGAGGAGAATGTCACGGACAAATAGTCCCACATCAGCTAGGTGTAGGGCCGAAAAGCAATATTTAAGTCCTGGGCTGCCCACCACCCACAAGGGCTCTTTTGGGAGGTGACACTTAGCTCCAAATCAACACCCAGGGTCAATCCTAAGGCCAAGTAGTCCTATAGGAACTCTCTTTGAGTTCCCTCATAATGATCTTACCTACTGAGTATTAGAGGTTAGGACCAATATGTGGAACTTCAAGTTGAGTAAAGAAAAGAGTTTTGAGTTTCTAATGGTGATGGTACCTTTTCTAGTTTTCTAAGACTAGTCAATAGGAAAGTCCTATGGCTAGACCTAGGCTACTAAAGAAGTTTCTAGACCTCAACCAAAAGTGAGGTCAACAGAGTTGAAAACTTTTTAATGTAGATAATATAAGAGGGATAGAATAAAATTTTTGGTGACTATTGATTCAACCATCAATTAAAATTCTACATTGTGAATGGAAGGAAATAGGCTAGAGACAAATTTAACAATAAAGTACTATAGATTCTGCTTTTGTTGGCTGATTGGATTAGTAGTGAAGGGAAGATATTTAACTTTTCTCATTTCTCTCTTAAAGTCCTATTATTCTCTTGAATTTGCAAATCATTTTACAAAAAGTATTTAGAATTGAAGAGTTTTAAAGCATGAGATATTACTAGGGTTGTAGATGAACCATGAGGTTGAGGGAGCTTGTCATTTCTTTATGGTTAGCAAATTAAATTTTTTGTTAAAAATGTCTTGTAATTAAATTATTTGTGGGCATCATGTTTAAGTTTGACTCATTCAATTGAGAGACAATCAAAACCCAATTCTATATAAATGAAAATAAATAAAATAACATGTAAGATTTGAGAGGATGATTCTAATGATCTATTAATTGCTAATTATTAAATCTAAAAAATATAAATTAATACTATAAAAAATTATTATTTTTTATTTAAGTCAACAATGAACCAAACACATTCAAATGAAGCTCGGCGTGTTTGGCTTGTTAAGGAAATAAGCTCAAAATTCTTGTTTAATTTCAACTTGTTTATTCAAAGTGAAATCAAACATGAGCTCTTAGTTAGAAGAATATGAATTATTAGTGGACGAGAAGCATTTTTGACATCCCAAGATTATACTTGCAGAAAGTATGTGGAGTGAGGAAAATTCCACATTATGTTGGCAAAATTTTGAAGCATAACTTTGAGGTAATTTTCGATTCATGAATATTAAATAACTAGTTTAGAATTGCAAAGTTATATGTTTTACAGTTTGTAAACTTGAGTGTGTCATTGTTGTAGGGAGGAGAAATTTCAAGATGATGAAGTTTTTTTTTGTATTCTTCATGGAAGCAATATGCTGTCAATTAGAGAGATAGTTGATTATTATTTTATATCGTCTCCAATGGTAAGAAGATGTTTTCAACTTATAAAGATAGCTTAGGGAAGCAATAATTCTATTTGGAAGTGAGATATTGTAGAATTTATGGAGTGTTTGTTCTAGGAACTATGGGAATCCTTACACAGTTATGCATTAGGCGTGTATGTGAGTAGTGTAATGATGTGTGAGACCATGTTAGCCAGAGTATGGAGCAAACATGCAATTTCATGTAAGGTTTTGTAGGCATGGCTACTGTGGAAAATTAGACACATAGATGAGGGTTTGTGAATGCGAGCATTATAAGGGGTTATAGGAGAAGTTATATGCATTGCAACCATAGGCATGTTGAACACATAGGTAAGGGACTACATGAGGTAAATGAACATGCATACTTATCATGGTTGGGTATATAGACATGCGAAGGACAATCTCTTGATGCATTGTTGACTTAATTTTTGAGTGAAAGAATAAATATTTTTCCTGTTTGATTGAATATACATGTTGTAAATGGGGATTTATAAGTTATATTGACAATATCATATGTTTTTCTTCTTATTTTTCACTATAGTTGGGTAGGGAATTGCTGATTTGACAATGAATAAAAAAATCATTATGTAAACATTTCTATTATATCCTTAACAAAAAAAAAAAAAAAAATAAACAATTTTGTATGTCTTGTCATAAGTGCTCTACAAATAAACAATTTTGTATGTCTTGTCATAAGTGCTCTAATTTTTCTTCATGACTTATACCTGCTTTCTAATTTTGTAGGGGTGAAGCCGCTTTCTGCAGCAAAGAGTGCAGAGATAAGCGGATTAGAGAAGATAGAAAGAAGGAGAAGAAGGAGAGGAAGGAACGGAAGAGGCGTTCTTTGGCAGCCATGAAGAATGCAAACCCTTTACCACCCATTAAAGCCTTTGAACTTTCTACTTAGAACAAAAACTTCCATATATTTCTCTTCTCTATTACAAACAATTGAACCATTCCTCCTATAGAGGCAAGATGCATACAAGCTCTCTTCATGGGCATTGTATTCCTTATTCCTTTATTCTTAAATATATAGCACTATGAATTACTTTATTTCATGCTACAGGGAATTGTTTCAAACTGAATAATTGTTCATATGATAAGTAAAAGGAAGTCTTCTCAAATGTATTTTCCTTTCTTTTTTCCTCCTAAAATCTTAAGATAGTTTATTCAATGAGTGAAGAAACTTTTGTTGTAATTATAACTCACCAATTTTAGGGCATCTTTATGTCTTCTCAAATGCAAACTTGCTTGAGAGGTCTACAAAGATTTGTGTTTTATGTTACAACACTAATATTCATTCATTGCCTTTTGTCATCATATTGTATAATGAATATAATTTTTTTTTACTTCTATATTTTTTTATCATTTACTATATACTGAGCACATGTGGACTCATATATCTAGTATCAAGACGCGTGCAAAGGCTTTGAATGATCTCATTTTTTTGAGCTAATACCATCCAATCTTATGTTGATTTTATTATATTAATATATTTTTAAGGCAATTTAGACCTAGCTATAATCAAGCTTGATATGATCTTTAATAACAAACCACATGGCTCTATGATTATAAGACTTCCATTATCTATATTTAGTCTATTACGGTAATAGCCCTTACATCTAGAATACTCTATGTTGTATATATAGCAAGTTACTGTCGCCAGTGTTAGTAGAGAGTAATAATATATGTAAATACTCCTCTATATTCACCTTTAATTCTTTCTAGTAAGAATATTATATACTTGTTTATCTATCTCAATCTCTTTTTTTCCTCTTTCTTTCTTTCAATATGTCTTCTACAAACTTTACATGCTATCAGAGCATTACCATCATTACATCCATGGAAGAATAGAATACATATGAACTCAGTGTTAGCCTTGCCACAAAGAAGATGAAGATTTTGTAGATGTCATTATCTCTGAAATTTCTATTCTCCGACATTTTATCAGTGGTAAATACCTCATTATCCATCTACAATTATACTTTATGGAAGTCTTAGATATTGAAGGTGATCAATGCAAATGGATTTGGAGGTTTCCTATATGGCGCCATACCTAAACCCCCAATTTTTACTGCCAACGACGCTGGTAGCTCATCTCTTAACCCAACTCACCGCATATGAAACCTTAACGATCACAATATCACTGTAGCTTTCCTATCTATTATCTCCCCAACAGTACCACCTTACATTATCAATTTACGTAGCAGCAAGGAAATTTGGGAGGCTTTAGAAAAATTTCTTCAAGCCAAAAATAGATATAGAGTAATTCAACTTAAGAACAAGATTCACATTGTAATCATAGAAAATCAAATTATGAAACATTATCTCACTCAAAATAAGGTGCTAGTTGATAACATCACAACAACAGACTCAACAATTGACACTAAAGATGTCATTATGTACATCCTTGTAGCCCATCAATCCTTCACAATAACAATTAAACTTTCTCTCTCCCCCATAAACCTTGAAGTCATATATTTTCTGCTCCACATCAAGGAAATTAATATAACTAGTGACAATCAAGGAAAATTCCATCAATAGACCAAAAACCAGCCCTCTACTCGCTGCAGGGAAAAGGTTTAGCTATAGAGCCAGGGGATGAAGCAACACTACTGGTTGAAACTCAAATGGGAGGAGCTCCAACGTGAACAAATTCATTAGCTGTCAAATTTTTCATAAACCAGGACACCTTGGTTATAACTATTGGCACCACAATAATCTTCAGTACCAGCTCAGACAACCATCAATTCATTTAGCATTGATTAACCCAATCACAGAAGAACAGGAGTGGTATCTTGACACTGGAGTAACAAGCCACCTAACTACAGATTTCAAGTCTCTTCGAAACCTGCAAACTTATCAAGGTCATGAACAAATAACGGTGGGCAAAGGCAACAAGATACCTATTCAAAACTATGGTCAAGGATTGCTTCCTACGCCCTCACATAAGCTCTCTCTCTGTCTCTCTAAAGTTTTTCACAACCCCCCAAATCATTCGCAATCTAATCTCCATTTATCAACTCACCATTGAAAATAATTGCATTATTTTATTTGACAATTCTGGCTATCAAATTAAGGAACGTAATACATAAAAAATTCTTCTACGAGGGCCTTGCAGTAAAGGCCTCTATATACTTTCTATCAAAAAGCAAGCATTGCTCTCCAAAATCACCTCCATCGATCTCTAGCACCACTGTCGACGGAGAAAAGTGTGCGTGTGTATGCCTTTAAATTTAATATACATATAAATTTGGACTTTTAAAAAAATAGTGTTTTAATTTTAAGAAGTAATATTTTATTTTTTGAAAAGACGAGACCGAACCGATCCCATATAGAAAATAGTTTAAATGATCGAGCACAATATCGCAAGCAATATACCTATTCTAAAGAATAGATACACTACTTACTAGTGAAGACTCGATTAAATAAACTAAAGAATTATGACATCTGTTTGGTCTGTGAACCATTTTCTTACCGACAAATTCCCTTATCAAATATGGAAGATTAGA